TCAGTCGCAAATATTGAGCGCCTCCTACAGTGTGTCGCATATCGGTCGCATACTATCCGCGACGCATAACATCTGTCGCAAATATGTCGTACACGTAGACCAACCGAACATATCTGTCGTATACTGTGTCGGTACATACCGACAGACCATCTGTCGTAAATTATCTGTCGTTTTCCGTCGTATTTCTGTCGCAAATACGTGCGACAGAGTTATCGGTCGCAAGCGGTCGGAAATTTGCGACAGATTTTGCATCCAAGTCCGACAGAGATATTTTTCCGAGATTGTGTCGCTTTTTAGTCGCGGTCTGTCGCAAATTTTATTGCGACAGAAATTTCGGTCGCAAAAGGTAGGGGTGTAAAATGGGCGGGTCGGGCCGGGTTCGGACCGATAACAACAAAGTCATTTAGTTCACAAATAAAAATAAAATTGAAAAAATTATCCAATTGTTCAATTCTCCAACACCACAACATGCGATTAAAAACTTTGAAACGTGATAAAAAATAACAAGCATAATATAAAAAGAAATTCTATCATGTAATTAATTTAAAACTTATAGAAAAAAATCAATATGTTCATATACAAACAAAGTTTTAAAAATATATATATTTGAAAACTTTTACCCTTTCTAAAATGTAAACTTATATATATATATGTTTGGCTCATGGAGAAACGTATGATACGTCGTCATCATCACGTGTTTCACAAATGCAAGAACAACTTGTGGAAAACACGTCGCTACCTCCGATCTTTCAAGAAGATCAAGACCGAAATCTATATGCAGAGATGGTGAATGATGCATTTCCCAACGTTGCTCCTTCTCCATATATGGAAGAAGAGCCAAATGTTGAAGCGAAAAGATTTTATGATATGCTTAACACGGCTGATGACGACGTATCATACGTTTCTCCATGAGCCAACCAAACATAATAGTTTGACATAAAACCTCTTCTATAAAGGTGCTTATACACTTCATACTGACTTCGCCATCTTTTATTCTCGCATTTTGAGTACGGACATGGTAACT